TACCAGTTTTCTAGAACCTGCTGGATTTCACCCCTGTCCAGGGGGCCTTAAAATCCACAGCCACTGGATCTTGCTAGAGATAAATTCCAGTCCATTTCCCAAGTCTATGGAGATTCTCAATCAGCTATGTCATGGTTTTCCCAAAGGTGTATGGAAAATATTAAAAAGGCGGAATATTGTATTTCCCCAAAGGGAGAAATGGAGAAACATGCTCAGTCTTTCTTAATAGCTCCATGCCCAGCAGATATTTTGTGCCCATTAAGAAAGATTTGGCCAGCCTATCTACAAAACAAAAGACCTTCAGCTTCAGGGTGATGGGATTAAGAAGAACAGGACATGACCCTTCAGGACATAATAGGATTAACCCACTACCATTTAGCAGAAGACACAGAGCTCACTACATTCCACAATCTCCTAAGTGCATTTCAAACCAATTGGTCAGCTGAGCCAGGACTGCTGTTGGTTCTGTTCATCATTAAACCATCTTTCCAACCAGCCTCCATGTTGTTTCCAGCATCTTTCTCCCAGCTTGGAACTGAACCAGATGGATTTTCCTTCCAACAGGGTTTTTTTTTTTTTCCAAAAGGCAAGTGGACTTTCTTGCCTTAAAAAAATAATAATCATGTTTTATCTGAACTGAAGAAGCTTTTTGGATGAGAAGTGAAATGTTTTAAAAGTGGCGGGGGGAGTCCAACACCTCTAGGATGCATCTATTTCTCCCCATCCAAAACCATATAGCCTCCATACAGAGTCAGACCTTTGACTTAAATGCAGGGGGAGTCCTTGTAAACCAGTAAATGGAGCCCATTTTGCTCTGAGGAAGACACTATGTGAGCCAAGTTATTTGGCTATTTGAGGAAAAATAAATCCTGCAGTGCATCCCTATTCCGGCAGTAAATACATAATGATAACCAAATAATTAATCATTTGTATTTTTTCCCCTATAATCATAAAGTCAAACATTTGTTTAGTGTAAAACCCACTAGAATATTCCTGAGATGCTGGGCTTCAGTCTCTTGGACCCAACGTCATTTTTCTTGGAGATAATCAAGATCCTCTCTTTTGAAGTTCATTATGTGAATCTAATTCTTCTCACTTCTTCCTCCCCTGGATATTACCCATTCAAGGAAAACATGATCACTTTTCCCTCATGTATCAATTACCTTCATTTCCTCAACTACTCATGTTTCCCCGAAAATAAGACCCCATCTTATTTTCTTTTGGGCCCCAAAATAAACACCAGGTCTTATTTTCAGGGGATGTCTTACCTGTTTACCTTAGGACCACCAGAGCCAGGCCTCCCATGCCCTGACACCTCTCACACCACTGCCTGACTTCTTCTGCAGCTGCTCGTGGCCAGATGCCATGTGGCACATCGCGCCAATGGCACCGCTCATGGAAGGATGCTGCGTGGCTTGTGCTGGTGCCGCTTGCGGCAGGAGGCCACACAGCACATTAGGGCGGTGCTGCCACTCAGGGCAGGAGGCCATGTGGCACGTCACACCAGTGCCACCACTCGCAGCAGGAGGTTCTGTGGTGTATTGTGCCATTGCGCATGCGCTATGCGACCTCCTGCCTCGAGCAACAGCACCAGCACAGTGCGCCATGTAGCATTTGGCCATGAGGGACTACAAGCGGCCGCAGAAGTCAGGCAGCAGCGTGACAAGTGTCAGGGCATGGGAGGCCTGGCTGCAGCTGTCTTAACGTAAGCGGGTGTGAGGCGCGTGTGGCAGCTCTATCCCCCATCCCTACTCTAGCTTGATTTTTACACATGCACCTGATCCCACCTCATACAACCAGACGGTGGGACAGAATGGGCGGGGCCTTAACTAGGGCTTATTTTTGGGGTAGAATTTATTTATTTATTTATTTATTTATTTATTTATTTTATTTAACTTATATGCCGCCCTATCTCCAATGGACTCAGGGCGGCTCACAACAATAAAATCCATAATAACCACAGTACAAAGTTAAAATACCTAATTAAACCAGATAAAAGTTAAAAACCCATATAAAACCTTATATTAAGCACACATGTAAAAATCAAGCTAGGGCTTATTTTTGGGATAGGTTGTATTTTTGGGGAAACACGGTATTTTGTCCCTGTTGGGGTAGAATGTTTCTTACCCTGAAAACGAATAGTACGATGGGGAAGTAAGTAGGTAAGTATGCTGCATGCCCAGATTCTTTGCTGAAATTCCTTCCTTTTGCTGTGCTTGCAAAAAACCACAGACTAATGATAAAGGGCCATGCTCTTTGTTTCAGCTTGCATAGTTTTTTATTAGCCTCCCAGAGATTATTTCTGTCATGAATAGGGAGTATTCCGCCTTCCAATGAAGGTCATGTCCTCTCTAGGGAAATTTGAGATGTGTGTATATGTAATAGCCCAGACATTTTATACATATATATGCTCAAATGCAATCATCCACCAACCATCTAGTCTTCAAAAAACAAACTTTCACAGTGGCATTATGAGAATCCTTTTTAAAAAAAAATTATCATGTTGGGAAGAGATTATTTGTAGAAAAGCACATTTCATCTAATGAAATTTAAATGACACACAAGCAACGTTAACCCACACTTCCTGGCTTTAAGCATTCTCCCACAAATCACAACGTTTTTATGAGATTATAAGAAAGATCATTGGCTTTTTTCTGCAATCTTATAAAAAGTCACTGAAATCTTCAGAAGATTTGGCATTTTAAAAAAAATATGGAGGCCAGGGCAGCTGTCATCTGAGTGTCATATTCCTTATCCATTCTATGTCACTGGGAAGTCCAGCAATCACTGTATTCCTAGTAGATCAATGTAAGGATTTTGGAGCAGAATAATCTTTAAAAATCTGGAATTCCACTGGTGCCATATGCAATAATTTGGCTGCTGTCATTCTAGGCAACAAGAACATCCCACAATAATTTGCTGCCAACTGCATTTCCAGGTGTAGTTGAAAGGGTTGGTTTTGATTTATCTAGTGAGGAATTATAAGAAGGGGTGCCTAGGCCAGAGGCCTTATTACTTTGAATTACTTTAAAATAGGTTAAATAGGGACAAAACCTTCACAGCAATGGCTCCTATCTTGCAGAACTCCCTATCCTTACATATCATCAGCCTGGAATTCTGTTGGAAAAAATTTTTGTGATGAAAGTTATGTCCAAAGCTTATCTTTGTCCTCCCTTACCTTTTCTTCATTGGTATTTTACATATAAGGAAGCAGGGTTTTTTTTCTCTCTCTCTCTTCCCTCGCTCTATGAGGGAAATCCATGCAATGTTTCTTCCCTGAAGAGAATTCATAGTATCCTATCCCACCTCAGAAATAGACCCAGACTACACAGAGAAGGAATTGTGACCAGTGTGGAAATTTAGTATGTACCAACTGCACTGATAATGTAATCAATTTTTTTTTTAAATTTGATTTATATGCCACCCTTCTCCGAAGACTCAGGGCAGCTTACAATGTGCTCAGCAATAGCCTTCATCCTTTTGTATATTTATACAAAGTCAGCTTATTGCCCCCACAAACTGGGTCCTCATTTCACCTACCTTAGAAAGGATGGAAGGCTGAGTCAACCTTGAGCCTTGGCGAGATTCGAGCCCTGCAGTAATTGCAGGCAGCTGGTCTTAATAACCAGCTTAATAACAGGGTGCCTTAAACCCCTGTACTACCAAGGCTCTTAATTTAGGTAAAATGAAAATTTTATGTAAATTAGGTAAATTTAGGTAATGAAATGTCTGCAAGTAAGCAACCAAGCTGAGAGAGCAATAAGGACCTCACAATCTAGCACACAGGTGTCAAACTTGTGGCGTCACATGACGTTTCCCAACCTTTTTCCCCTGGGGTGGGTGTGGCCTGCACATGACGCATCTGGCCCGCGGGCTGCCAGTTTGACATCCCTGAGTAGCACATACTATGTTAAGTACAGGGATACCAAAACTGCTACTTTGAGAGTGCTCTCTCTCTCTCTCTCTGCTTTTATAAGTTTATTTTTTTTCCCTTCAGTATAAAATATTTGCAATCTGATCCCATTTCTGGATGCTGCACTCACAGGAACTACTGCAGAGGAAGGACAAAGAGCACTTGAACCTAAGAAATGCGAGAAAGGGAAGCCAAGCTCAAAATTTCCCTGACTCTCAGCCAGAGATACAGAGACTGGTGTTTCAAGATCTATTTCATTTGAAGGTTATATATTGATCTTGTTACTACCCAACAGTCAGGAAAGGATGACTCTAAAACGGGAGTAGGGCAGTCCACTCAGAAAACTGCTTCCACAGAACTGCAGTCATCAGCTATTATTATCCCCCAAATGCTATTAGCTAATAGCTATCAATGCTGTCCTATTGACCTTCAAATCTATCCTTTATTCCCAGCCAGCATGACGGAAAGTGGCTTTAGATGGATGTTAGAGGCCAGAATATCTGGCTGAGAAAAGCAATCACAGAAGGAAGGGAAAGGAGAATTTAAAAAAAAAAAAAAAGAACAATGGGATTAATTAAACTAAATTTCAGTTCCAGAAAAGCTAAAGATCACTGGCAACCTATACAATGTCAATTGCACAACCCCACATTCGGTAAAGCAAACAGCTAAATTTTCCTAACGCTACTGCTATGCCTTATCAGTTGGTCAAATTCTCTAGGTCAAGACCAGGGATGCTATTCAGCAGATTCTGGAGAACCAGTAGTGGAAATTTTGGGTAGAAATTTTTGAGCAAATATCACCTCTGGCTGGCCCCAGAGTGGGGTGGGAATGGGAATTTTGCAGTATCCTTCCCCTGGAGTGGGGTGGGAATGGAGATTTTGCAGTATCCTTCTCCTGTCATGCCCACCAAGCCACGCCCACCAAGCCACACCCACATAACCGGTAGTAAAAAAAATTGAATTCCACCACTGGTCAAAACTACCTTCCATATATAAACAGCAACGAAGTATATGAAATATAACCATATCCAGACAATATTGAGGGATTTAAAAAGGGGGAAAGGGTGAATAAAAGACAATAAACCCTGTACTGAAAAGTAACCATTTATTAGAACCGATACAAGAAATATGAAAGAGCGGAGATGATGAACATGGGGTTGTTTGTAACATGTCAAGTTGTACAACAAAGAGCTCATTTTAAAAATTATTTTCACACTTTTAAAAATCAGCATAACCTACTTTAGAATCAAAAGGCTTGGCTAAAATGTTACCCCAAGGAAGTCTAACACAAATGCACAGACACACCCGTTAGCCAAAAGTTCAACATTCTGTTGTGGAGGGCAGCATATTGGGAGGGGAAGAGTTGACACACCATCTTTCTCTTTTTCATCAGGAGTTTAAATACTGATCATAGGGAACCTGGATATACTGTATTTCATTTCTGTAACCAGCACCAGGGGCATTAAACCTCCAAGGCCTTTTCACACATTCTGTGCACATGATTGGGCTTGTGTTTTCACCTGGATCCAAATAGGTGTTCATGAATCTTCCAGACTGCTTGTTGCAAGCAAAAGCTGCAACTTGACATACTTTTGCAAATGATTCAAAGCGTTGCATGAAGAATTGTGGCCTGACCCAGAGTGAACAATTCATGCAGTCTTATCTGTCAGAGACACAGTTGGATTCAAGCAATCAAAAAGCTCAATCAAAAGCAGAGCAGTTCCTTAAGCCAATTCTCTTTCATTTTTCAGAAGGAAAAAAATCTGAATGTTTGCTTTTTAAGCAGTGGAATGAGGTATTATCTCAGATGTCTCTTGTCCACTAAAAAACTTGCAGAGTAGTGGTTCCCAGTGGAAAAAAATAAAAGGAAGGAAGAAAGAAAGAAAGAAAGAAAGAAAGAAAGAAAGAAAGAAAGAAAGAAAGAAAGAAAGAAAGAAAGAAAGAAAGAAAAAGAGACAGAAAGAGATAGATAAACAAAAAGAAAAAGGAACCAATTTTGTCATAGGGCTAAAATACCAAATTGAATTGCATAAAACTATAGTTCTTGCAAAAATGATAGGTAGTGGGTCACGTGAAACTAAGAAAAGGCAGCAGTGGTATAGAGGTTCTGAGATAATTCAAATTGTGCTGGCTGGGTGATTTCTCTCCCCTTCCTTTTCCTGCTGGTGGGAGGAGACAAAAATCATTAGAGCCCATACAGCCGAGAAGATTTAAATGCCACCTGGGTAAAAATTATATAGTTAATCAAAAATTAATGAGTTTAATTAACACAAAATTAATTGTCTTTGTATTTTAATCCACGCTTAGGTGACTGAGGATAACAATTCATGTTTGATAGCCTCTTAAGAAAGTGTTGCATCAGAAAACTGCACCTACATAATTGAAGTCTTACCATAAATTTAAATTCTGATAAATTCAGAGAGTGGTCATCAGTTTAAAATGTGCAATTTAAACAGATACACAAAAAGCCAAGATTCAAACCTCCCAATGCATCATACACATATGCCCCATCCCCACAAGTTCTAAATACAAGAAGACGCAAAAAAACTGACATCAAAAAGCTTTTTTTTTTTTTTTGTGCCATTGAAACATTTAGACCAGGAGCCAAAAAGTGAGGAAGAGGGATCAGTTTAAAAGTCACCTAAATGCAGCATGAATGGCTTAGAAATCCTGGAAATTTAGAATCAGCTGGCTAGTTCTACTACTACACTAAGACAAACTTAACATGATCTTCAGGTAAAGGGTGAAAACTTTTTTTTTCCTTTAAAAAAAAATCTGGGCATTCTTTGTTGATAGTTTAAAAAGAACTCTTGCCTTTAAAAAAGAGCTTTTGAATAGGGTTAAAAATATTACACTGAAGTCATATTGTGGAACTTACTAAAAGCTGTTGCTGTACTTACATTTCTGCCAGTAGAAAAAACTAGTGTTTTAGCATTTCAACTGCAGTAGCTAAAGCAATTCTTCAAGTGTCAAGTTGCCCTATTTTTGCTTCATTTAAGTTTGACAAAGAACCTTCAGATATTCATCAAATTTGCCAAATGATGAAAGGGTCCTGTGTGTGCTACTTTATATTAATGGTGCGTCCAAAATAGAATTTTAAATTGTGTAGTTGTGGGAGTGGAGGAAAGCCAAGATTGAACACTTTATTCTAAGGATTCTTCCCACATGGCAACAAATCAGGTACATGCATGCATTCAACAGGCTGTACAAGAATAGTCATTTAAAACATACATGCACAAGTCCATCTCAAAATCCTAGCAAATACTTGGAAAGAGAAATGCTTTTTTTTTTTTTTACTAATGGCATTGTTGCTACCAACTTCCTAAAATGCCTTTTTTCTTTTTAGCCTGACACACAAGTGCTTGTAATCACAGAAGTCTTCCTTATTAATTCTATGTAAGGATTTCTATTAGCAGCTGCTGGTGAAGAAGGTAGTTTTTAGGCTGGTACATACCAGAGTAGGAAAGAAAGGTGCACTTCAAGGCTGTCTTAAGCTTCCTCTCCAATACATTTGAGAATAAAAATAAGGGCGAAATCAGCGAGGTAGCAGGACTTTAATACTTAAAGGTTATCAGAGTTGATAATGTCTCTTATTTAGCCTGCAAATTCAACTTGATTCTGGCTCGCCCAATGAATTTAGCTGGTAAGAGGCAATGCCAGCCAAAATACCTGAAAAAGATATGGGCTGGAAAGCCAATACCCTAGTTAGTAACAGCAGAGACTTTCTCCATTTTAAGACTTGATTCTATAGGATTGCAGCACAGAAAGGAATGGCAGACTATCAATCATCCACAGCACTTGCTCCAGATTCAATACTCCTTCTGCACCACTTTGCCCACTTTCACAAAATACAGACGATGCAGTGATAAATACTGAGGCATGGGTGAAATCTCCAGGAGTGATTTAGAACATCATCATGCCAATGTAATAATGAGGCCAAATTATAGCACCTCGGCGATGGCTGAAATTTGTTACGTGCTGTAAATCATGAGGGAGCATTGGCCAGTGCTTGAGGGGAAGAAAATAAACCATTATTAAAGGTATATAGCCTTTAAAGGAGAGGCAAGGCTCTGAGGCAAATACAGATAGTCTTCAACTTAATGGAGTCTGCTCATTACAGTTGTTAAGTCATGATGGCTATAAAGCAGGCCACCCACGTGACTGACACAATTTTATAATTTTTTTAAATGCAATGGTCTTTAAGAAACCAATTGATTGCTATGGGCCAAAAATCTGAAGTAAAGGCAATTATATAACTGTAAACATAAATACAGGCCAGTTGCCAAGTGTCTGAAATGTGGTCACATGACAGCAAGGGGAAGATGGCTGTTGTTTGAAACCAGACTGTAAGTACCGTGGATCAGTCTTGTAATGTCATAAGTCAAGGACTACCTGTCACTCTTGCTCTCAGCATTGACTCTTCAGCATTTTTTCCCCCTGGCCTACTAAGCCACCTCCTTCCAGATAGCTGAGGACACCGTTTTCCTTCCTCATAAGCTAAAGGACTCAGCTTCCCACCTGAGCTAATAGGGCTAACAAACGGGACCATCAAGAATAAATACTGTATGTAGCCAAGTGTTTAATTCTCACAGAAGACGCATGTAGAAGGGAGCTTAAATTATTGCCAACACATTTCTTGGGGGGATCTAAAAATGCCACCTTTATCCCTTAACTTGACATGTATTTTTCTAGTCCTCACTCTAGAGGTGGTGGTGGTTTGTCCCTCTCGACTCCTTCCAGATATTCGTCTATTTCCTCATTCTTCCATCCCCACCCAGTTTGTTTTACCATTGTTCTTCTTTCCATACTCCATTGCCATTGTTTTTGTGGTCTGTTGGAAGAAAATGGCCTCTTGTGAATGCATGTATCCTTTTGTTTGCAGAACGGTGGACTTGTACTACACACAAAACATTTAATTTTACAAATGGGTACCTTGTTTTATAGGCAATTATTTTTGGTCATTAATTATTCAATTTATTTTTTATCATGGCCTTGTCCTTGTTAGGGGGTGGGTCCAAATCAATGAATGTGTCACACAAGCACACATATTTGCAATAAGGAAAGCCTCCAGAATTGCTTTCTGCTGGAATTAGCAATTTTTAGGTAGGGAGGTAGTAAGCTACAGCAACTTGGATATTGCATTTATTTTTCTCTGTTCTGTTCTTGAAGGAGTTAGAAATCAGAATAGTCTTCCTTTCAGGAAGATGTGGAACACCTAGGGGTCTTTATGTGTTGCTTCATTTCAGACAGATGGGTATTAGTAAATTGTCTTTTATCCTTGATAGTAGTCATACAATACATAATAATTTGATCTCTTCAGCTGTCATACAGAAATTAGAGAATTCCAAGGGAGTGGGGCAGGATAACTAGCATTCTGTGAAGCATAATGGATGAAAGGGATATTCTTCTCATTTGAGTCACATGCAAAAATCAGAACCCGAGACTCTTCTTGACTAAAAAAAAACCCCTCAAGTAAATCATTTATTCAGTGTGTAAGTGGTACAAATCACATGCAAACAGTTAAATCCATATAGCTTCCCAAATCCTGTTTTGCAACTGCTGCCCTCTTCCAGCTCATGTGGTTGAGGAATTAATGAAAACACCCCCACACTGAAGAGCTAATAGTCAAAAATTAAGAAATTCAGTGGGATTCAAGAGCAATAGCTGGCCATTAGCCAAATGCAGGCAGCTATGCTTCTGTCTATGTGTTCTATGTGACATCTTTCAAGTGGAATCAGAAATGCAAAGCTAATGTCCAATCTATAGTCTGAACTTTCACATATCTCGTTTGTTGAAAATGACTGCACCAAATAAGGGTTCTAGAAAAGAAACATATTTCTATTAATTTAGCAGCAGGGCATTTCTTTCAACAAAATCCCTTTCAAAGTAAATTCTTAAAAGTGTCACCCATCCCCATTCAGGAAGCAAACAGTAAAAATCTATTCAGTTCTAATAGAATATGCTGAGCAAAGCTATGGAGGCTGCATATTTTATAAAGGCAAACCTGCCTCAAAACCACTGAAAGATGGACTGGTTGCAAAATAGATTCTTAAACTACATACATGGAATGATATCATGATCCAAACAAATTAGAATACATGTTTCATAAATGTTTTATCTTGATGTGGTTGACAGAAGTACACCTATCAATTGAATCAAAGGAAATCCACCAAAACAAAAATGCCACCAATTTTCTGATGCTGGGCATTTAACAAGATATAGGACTTAATCAATCATATGAATCATTAGTTGTGTCAAAGATGTAATTCATGTCATGCTACATCACACCATGCCCAGTTGCAATTCCTGACAGATTAGCAGGATACAGAATATGTAAATAGAAGGATGGCAACCTACTTCATCTGCTTGCTAAACAAAAGGAAATAAATTCAACAATGCAGAAATGAAGTAAGTAGTGGTGGGATTTTCTGATCAAGCATGGATAGGAGCATCTTTCCTCACTATTAATAAAAAAAAAAAAAAAAAAGAGTACTGCTAAGGCAGCAGAGACCAAAGAGCATGAATTCAGACTCAATGTTAAGGACCAGTGTCCATTATAAAGTAGCCTGTACCATTTCAGTAATGATCCAAGCTCCTATCAAATCTTACTAGTATGGAGGATCCATCTATTGTGAGGTATCCAGAAATTCAGATACTGTAGTAGGATACTGGCACTTTTCAAAGCTGATGCAGCCAAGTGAGTCTGCGCGGTGGAACATGAAAATGAAATCCCAACCATGCTACACCATGCAGGCATTACACATGAAATAAAAAATGCATGGGCTTTGTCATGAGAAAGGGCTCTGCCAAGGGCCTTTGCTTTCTATTACCGTCCTGAAGCTCAAGAACAAGATGGAAAGCCACTGCTGAAATAACCATTTGTTAATGATAAGGGATGCGGTGGCTCAGTGGCTAAGGCACTGAGCTTGCCGATCAAAAGGTCGGCAGTTCAGTGGTTCGAATCCCTAGTGCCGTTTAACGGGGTGAGCTCGTTACTTGTCCCAGCTTCTGCTAACCCAGCAGTTTGAAAGCACGTAAAAATAGGGACCACCTTTGGTGGGAAGGTAAGAGAGTTCCGTGCGCCTTTGGCGTTTAGTCATGCCGGCCACATGACCACAGAGACGTCTTCGGACCGTGCTGGCTCTTCTGCTTTAAAACAGAGATGAGCACTGGCCCCTAGAGTCAGGAACGACTAGCACATATGTGCGAGGGGAACCTTTACCTTAATGATCAACATTCCAAATCGGGGACAGGCAATGTGTGACCCTCCAACTGTTCTTGAACTGCAATTCCCATCCAGCATAGCCAGTGATGAAGGATAATTAGATTTGCAGTCCAAAATGTCCTTATTCTGTAACATGGTATTTTTGGCTAAATTGCTAATGTATTTTATCTGTAAAATCTATTTCACTATGTATTTTAACTGTCAATTGTTCAGAATAAAAATGCCAGTCTGGGATTTTTGCATTTTTCTAAGCTGTTCTAGTCATGCAGCCAGATAATTATGCTCAGCTGGTAGTTTTCTCTGAAAATATACCTGAACTAAATACTTATTCTGAAAATAACGTATTGACATACTAGGATGAAAGAGCAGAGAGAATATGGTTGGGAGGTCTCTAAAGAAACAACTGCCCAGAAACAAATCAAATTAGAATTTTGGAACCACGGTTCGTTGTTTTTTTTTTTTAAAGGAAAAAGGAACTATTTAATGATTCCAAGTATGACACTATGTTTGGCTGATCTACTTACCTACATAACACAAAGGCCCTATTTGTGTAACATGAATGATCCAGTTTTCTTTAAGCCAATTAATTCACATTGACACACTCAGGGCACATGATCCCAAATGACAGAGATGGTCATTCAGTGACACTGTATTTAGTCTTCACAGGAGGCATCATTTTCTTTCTTACTTCATGCTGTACCCTCCACCCCCTGGGAAAGTAAATTTAAAATTAAAGTTGCCATCATGCAATTAAGGTTGGTGTCACTGCAGATTCATGGAGTTACATATCCCAACAGTATCTGCTCACTTTTCAGACATAACACACCTGGAGTGCAATGAATGAAAGATCAAAAGGACTATAGAAATGGAATGCCCACAGAAGGAGCAATTTTATAGGGCTTCTCTAGGAGTACATTTTGATCACAGTTGTTAAAAGAGGGAGTTAATTGTCTAGTAAGTACCGATAGTCTGCACAAAGGGGGGGGGGGAGGAAAGACTTGTTGCCAGGATAGGCTATGGGTCAATTAACTTAATTTTTGGAGTACACACAACATGATTAATTAGATACCCTTATAATCTAACTAAACATGTCATGCAAATAGCACCAGTAGTAAGGAAGATAAGAGATAGGAAGGAATGAAAGGAATAAAATGAGAAAGACAGGTTCAAAAGAGGGATGCTACCCCTGCCAACTAATTTCTATTTGTTCAAACGGTTCCTGTTCTGACCTGAAGTTAGAAGATTTGGGTGAAAATGGCTACCCAGCATTTTGAATGCAATTCAAGCAACATGTTAGCAATTTTGAAAAAAACTAGAAAAAGCCCTTTCCCCCCCCCTTCCCCAAGATCTAGCTTGCTTGTTATTTTGGTGACCTAAAAATCCAAAGCCTGTGGTAGATCAGTTGGATCTGTCCTGAATTCAGGGAGCTCCTGCCATTTTTAAATCAGTAACAATGATGCTTAACAATTCTCTACACAGAACATGATGATGCAGAACTAAACAGCCAGGCAGGAAGAAAAGGCCTGGAGGCTCTGAGGAAGCTTTAAAAACAAGAATCATTATTGTTATCAATGAGGTGGTGATAGAACTCCACACTGCATGTCAATCTCCTGGAGGGAAACCAAACGTGACTCACAACATTTATGTTATGACTAAACCAACCAATATCAACATTTCTCCTGTCGAGCACAGTAATAAGCACATTTGCATGGATGCATTTGGGCAGAGGGAAAGGGATGGTGGATATGTACAATTATGATGGACAGAGAACCCCAGCCACTTTAGCTTTTCACTGCTTCCCGTTCTTTGTTTTCAGCATCTTCTGGGTATGCATGCCAGGTCAGTCTCTCTTCATAAAATGCTATCACAATTTGAGGGCACTTCACATTGGCTTCTTTTGCTAGAACCAGATCAGCCTCATCTGTGTCTTTCCTAAAGAAATAAACAAAAAGCAACAAAAGGAGCACTGGTCACTAACTGGTTAAGCAAAAACATTCCATCCAACAGGTGGCACAATAAAAATAAACAAGGTTTTACGTACCTATTTTATAATGGAAAACAATAACAAAACAGCATCAGTAGGAAACCACCAACAGCACTACCAGGAAGCCCCTGTCTGAACTGCCAATTAATTTGGGATTATGAAGGGAGGCAGGTATTGCAAAGTGTTTTGATACCCATTGATTTTATGAATTTTAGTTACATTTACTGCATATCATATAATATATGTTTCAATGTGAATATGCTACTGCTTTAATCAGCAACTGCTCCTTCTGGACAATTCATTTATGGATGGATACTGCCGGCAGTTTCTTTTGTCCCAGCTACTCCGGAGTGCTAGTGGCTAACTTAAAAGGACACTGCTGGTCCAGTGGATCCAATCCTTTGAAACTGATGAGCCTAATGCTGCAGAAAGTTTACTGGTGTTGTAACTGCTATTAACATTCAAAAAGAAATCTCATTGCATCCTCAACTGCTATAATTGATAAAGGGGACAGATGTATTTTTTCCACAATTCTCTCTCCATCTACAAAATGTCTGAATTGCAAAAGGGAAGAGAAACATAGGGAGATATCTCCTCTTTAACTGTTTACAGGAGCTTTGTATTTTCAAGTAAGATGCCAAAATAAAATAAATCTGTCAAATCTGTTTTAAAAAAATATGTTCACTAATATTTTGCCCCTGATTAACTGAAAGTTTTAATGACACATTTTTAGTGCAAATGCTTATATGAGTTGAAGAAAGCAAGCCTCTTTTTGAGAGGCATGGCATTTTCCAGAGGTATTATCTTAAAGAGGTAAATTGTAAAAATTTATACCCATCTTTGGAATCTTTTATTCAATTTTGCCCATTTTCACAAGAGATCCCCATGAAGATAGTCAAGGGCAGAAAAGTACTCCAAATGTTTACAATGCACTCCCCCCAAAAAAACCCTGTTCCTCAAATTCCCAAGTTTCATTTTCTTGATATATCATTTGGCCTTGGATTTGTATTTATGCAAATGTGTATTTTTCTACTTTCTACAGATATTTTAAATTTTCTATTTTAAAATCTTAATACAAAGTCATATAAAATGAAAAGGTCCTACAGACAAATGAAAATTTGTAAAAATGTTAAGCAAACAGAAAAAGTACATGACACGATTGAGTCTGACACCCGTGTACTGGAGGGAACATCTGGGTAACACCTGGATGAGAAATTCTAATAGAAAAAAGCATCAGTTGGTTTATTAGCTTTGTCTGTTGTTCAGTTCTACCCCTGCACTACCTGTTTAACTACCATTCAAGGAATAGTAGTACTGATTAAGGCAGTAAACTTTAATTAATTAATGGCACTCTACTAAAGATTTCATCAGAATTAATCTTCACTCATTTAACTAAAGGGTCACAAATGACAAACACACATTCTGAGACAGAACTCTTGTCTATCTGGATGCCCTATAACAGGGGTGTCAAACTTGTGGGCTGAATGCCTCACATGCTGCCCATGCCTGGTTTAGCGAAGGGGGGGGTGTTGCAATACGTCACATGATGACATGAGTTTGACACCTCTGCCCTATAACTATGCCAGCAATTCTGATAAAAGAAATTAGAGGATGACTTTTCTTTTACATATGTTCCCCAACATTAGTACTTATAGTCTGTAATGCAAAAGCTTTTACAATAATCAGTAACTAAAATTGATAATGTTCAATGACAATTGATACAAATAAATGTTTAAGCCAAGATTTTACAATTGTAGCCTTAATTTTGCTTTTTTTTAAAAAAGCAGTGTACATTAATTCATATTCCAGCAGAGCTGAAAATATAGCTTTTCTTATAGCTCTAAAGGTTACTGCTTATTAAATTTGCAAACAATTGCTATCTGATAAAATTATCATTAGAAAATCTGATTTTCACTGGGCTTTCCTCTAGAGCAAATGTAATAGGACTGCAACCTTAATTCAATAACTGAGTTAAAGAGCCAACAATATGTGTTACTAATGAATATAGAGCCCATCAATTTCAAAGGTAAGATTAAAAAAATAATCTAAAGCACAGCACAGAATTAATTACAGTTAGTGTAGCTGAATTTTGCAATCTGTTCTAAGAATGTCTTGATTAATTCCACTGTATAGGAGATTAGGCTCTTTCGAACTAGGTAATTTACTGGTCTAAGTGCAAATGCACTCTAAGGAATAATTTGATCTTGGCCTACAAGCCTTAGGTTTGAATCTAAACCTGAATCAAGTCTCATTCTTTTAATTCAGTTCTTTTATAAATCAATAAAAGCAATCTAACTCACTAGAATGTGCAAACTTTTCTATAGTATTTACTGTAATTCTTATATACAGTAAGTACCGCAATAAACTATATATATTTAGGTTATCTAAAATATTACTCTATTAGCTTTACTGAATACATTTTTTGTCCTTCAGAATTCAGGTCAACTGACAGTGATAACCCTACAGACATTCAAGCAGTAACCATTTTTATCTTATTTTGATCAATAATCTGGGATTTGAAAATTAGGGCCTCAAAGTATACAATCACTCCTAAATTACAACTGCAATTCAGGTGATGCTGCAGGAATGCCCAAATTAGGGATTGCAACCATTACAGGATAATTCAGAGACCTGTTTGCATTCACTCACCGCCCCCAGCGTTTGGTCACATAACAAAGAAAACATGATGGTGGAAAACTACCAAGCCCTTTAGTTCTTGCTCTTCCTTCCTTCCCTCCCCCACTTCTCCTTTTCTAAAGAGTGGCCTGCAGCTGGATCCCCGCCCCCACTATCTTGTGAGGAGCAGCAGCCCCATCTCAGCCTAGCCAGCTTTAGAGACAGGAAAGGATGACAAGGGCTTATTTTCTCCAGTGCCTTGTTGTGGGGGAAGACCTGCTCTCCTAAGATGGAATGCTGATGGAGTTTGGAAGGAGGAGGAAGAGGGGGGCCATGGGGAGGCAGCAAAAGGCAATTTTCTTAAAGGCAGCTATGCTATAACCTCTGGCTGGCTGATAAGCCAGGCTCTGCTCTTTGTCTCGGCTTCTGCTGGGGGAGGGGCAGCTGCTGCATATGCAGCCTAGCCAACTCACTGTCTCTCTCTCTCTCTCTGCTGCCCTGCCTGTCTGTCTGCAGAGAGGCTTCCCGCAGAGATAAGCTCAGGAACAAAAACAAGAGGCAAGTCAAAACCTTTCCAGAAGGATTTCCTGTGCTCTCTCTACTTTGGGGGAGCAAGGAGGGAGGCAGTAAATTTGCCTTCCTTTAAGCAAAATCCATATAACTCTAAACTCAGGGTGGACTTGCATCTGTAAAGCAGCTTAACATCCACTCCAGGGAGAACAAAGCCCAGCCAAGGAACTGCCATTAAACCATGGCGCCTCACCCAAGAGTGGTTAATTTACTGGGGTTATTTCACAAAGGAGAAAATATGCAGTTATCAGACCACAGGATGGGATTTTTTTTTTTTTAAAAAAATTAAAAATAAAGAAGCACACTCACCATTTCATTAGGAACATTAAATCTCCGCAGGAGTCTGTGGCTCCGATGATTTTTTCTGGCTCCAATCCTCTTTCAAAGCCCCTGGCAATATCGGTGCTCTGATGGAGAGAAAGTGAGAAGAAAAAGAGTTAAAATATTCCTATTCCTTAGCCATTTGTTAGTCTCCTCAACCATGAAGCAGAGGCTTCCAGGGCCACTCAGAAGCAGGTGATAAACAGATGCCATACGTGGCGTGATTGTAATTAGCAGCCGAGGAGGCCTTAATATCTTTCCTGCCTGTATTATTAATCTTTACACACACACACTCCCCCCCCCTCTCTCTCAACACTACATGTTGGGAGAGAGAGAGAGAGAGAGATTGTGGAAGTGAAGGAAAGAAGCCTAAAAGGTAGGAGGGAGGAGGGGGGGGGGAAGACCCGAAGTCGCCATGAAAATGAACTAAGAAAGCGATGGGGGCAGATTGAGGGAATTAAGTCATCTTGCCTTTGCAGCAGCAGCTGCAGCAGCAGCCATTCGCGATTTCCAAAGCTCCCCATCCCTGCTACGCCTCCCCCGCTCCAGAGCGCACCACCTCTACGGGCTCTCGCAGTCCTTGAGGTCTTTGTGCCGGTGGTGCCGTCGATGGGTGTGTCCCATTCATGCAGAAGGGGGGGGGAATTTTTGGTTGGTTGTTGTTGCTGCAACCGAGAACTTAAGCCTCCGGGGCCCCCAGACAAGGGTCAATCAGCTCCCTCTGCACATACCATCTGAAGGCTGGTAACAGCTTTCAGTCACTGCAAGCCTGGAGCGAGAAGCGTTCTCCCTGCTTTGCAGCAGCAGCAGCACCACCACCGCACGCTATTCTGCTAGAGATCCACACATTTGTTGCTCACACATACTGTCTAGTAGATGCAGCTATGCAGACCAAGCATGTCAGAGGCAGACTGCCTGGCTTTTTTTTTTTTTTTTTTTGCAAGTACTAAAGCCAGTTGCAAAGTGAGAAAGAAGGAAAAGAAAAGAAATGCATTACAATAAGCTGTGATAGTTAAGTGAAAGAAAAGAAAGGGCAACAAGATCGAACCAACTCATTTAATGATTGGTACAACCCAGAGGAAGGAAGGAAGGAAGGAAGGAATTTACAAATTGTGCCATCTATTGCAAAAGAAATCCATCAAAAAGTATTTAAGCACACTCGTCTTTTAATTTTTCAAAAATGTTTAATATGGACAGGAATTTTTTTAAACCTAAAAAAAAGTTCATTTAGTGTGGGAAATTTTAAGAAATGAATTGGTCTTAGCCTCCCAAAGACATGCATATGGTGATGATAGAAAAAACTGAGAACTCGATGCAGAATTAAAACTAGAAAAAAAACACCCCAATGTATCTAGATTCAGCAGAAATGGGTACATACAATCCTCCCAATATCTCCAAGATACTGCTAAACCACAACTCCCAGAATGCCTTATTACTGGCCAGGAGAGTTGAGGTTTTTGGGAGTTGTAGTTCAGCATTTTATCTGGAGTGCTATAGCATCCCCATTCAATTTAGATACCGGTAAATAGGCATATGAAATGAGTTTCTGAACATTTTTAAAAATATCTAATTTTTTAAAAGTACCAGCAACCATTAAAATTAGTGTTGCCTTAAAGATTGCTACTACATCACTACATCACTCAGCAACTTGGTAGAAAAATTTCTTCAAACCAAAAGTCTTGTTACATACAAATTAGCCAGAGCAGTAACAGATAATAAGGCTGACTAAATTATATTATTTTATAAAATTCTGTATTTTCAGCAGGATTTGTAACTATAATTAAGATTTGTCCTGCATTGTGATATTGCAGACAGTTTTGTCTAAGCAAGCTTGTAAACATATTTAGCAAATTTAGAGACTGCTTATTTTATTCACAACACACAGAAAACTTATTTTTCCCTCTGATCACATTTGAAGGTTTTGAAGATAGTTTATTTGGGTTTTATATCTGTATATGTGTACAGTTTATTAATACCATTTTTGGATGTCCAAAAAGCAGATCATACAACTTTTAATTTAAAACACCAATGCAGAAGGGAATGCTGATATACCCTCTGGTAAATATTCCCAAAGCCAAATTCCATTACTGAAAATAAATTTAATAAGTTAAAGATTTCACACCTTTGCCTGCATTCTCCTCCTGTGCTTTAAATGACATGCCCCAAACCTGCCTTGCATATAAATAAATAAAATCTATGCTTGAAGACAGAGAAAGCCCTTCATTCCACAAAAGGCTTGCAACCAACCATGTAGAGAAAAAAAGAAAGTGAAAACCACCATCACCACTAATTTTAAAAATCCAAATAAATACTTTTCTTTGAGTATAGTGCCTGTTGGAAGAAATATCCATCTGATTCAGCGAGGAGGAAGGCACTGGAAATAAAATGGAGGCTGGAGGCTGATTGGAAAGAGGGTCCATTTATTGATAAACAAAACCACATTTGTGGTTCTGGTGCGGCTAACCAAATGGAATTGAGAATGGGTGGTTTTTATACCTTCTTTGGGCTTTGTATTTGAGCTTCCTGTTCCTGTCCTTTAATATTCTATTGGCTGTTGTGAGATTCCTATGGGGTCATGTAGGGGTCATAGCTGGTTCTATAGGCAAAAGAGGAAATGCAAACCCTATGTTGTCAGAAATGCTTGTCTGAGCTAAGTTTGGTTGAAATTTCAACTGCTCTGGGGGTGGTGCAATGTCTGAAATACCCTTAGGAGATTGTACAATGTAGTGAGCTCTACTGCCACAGAAAGGAAGGGGTCAAGCTATTTTCCAAGGCACCCAAAAGCCAGACAAGGAATAATAGATGGAAACTGATCAAGGAGAGATTCAACCTAGAAATAAGGAGAAATTTTCTGACTGAGAACAATCAACCAATGGAACAGCTTGCCTTTGGAAGTTGTGGGAGCTTCATCACTGGAGGCTTTCAAGAAGAGATTGGACTGCCATTTGTCAGAAATGGTTTCCTGCTTGGGCAGGGGATTGGACTAGATGACCTACAAGGTCCCTTCCAACTCTGTTAATCTGTAATCTTCTGCTAAATGGTAGTGGGTTAATCCTATTATGTCCTGAAGGGTCACTCCTGTTCTTAATCCCATCAGGTCTTTTGTTTTGTAGAAAGGCTGGCCCAATATAGTGGCCCTATATTTTGTATAGGTACAAAATATCTATTGGGGGGGGGTATTAAGAAAGAGTGAGTCTGCTTCCTGCCTCCTACATTTGGTAGTTTACTAAATATTGTGTATGCATATAATGTGTGGCTTGTAGATTGTACCTCAGCCTCCTGCATTCTCTAGGGGCCAAGAATACAATGAAGCTTGTTAAAGGTAGGTCTCTTTTATAAAAGCGCTTTGGTATCTCAAGATTCTGTAGTACTACTGGCATGTAGAAAGTCAGGGCCTACCCCTTCCTAGAAGAATGAAATATTTTGAGGAATATTAAAAAGGGCAGAATATTATAGTTCCCCAAAGGGAGAAAAGGAGAAACATGTTTAAAAAAACATGTTTCTCCTTTTCTCCCTTTGGGGAACTATAATATTCTGCCCTTTTTAATATTCCTCAAAATATTTCATTCTTCTAGGAAGGGGTAGGCCCTGACTTTCTACATGCCAGTAGTACTACAGAATCTTGAGATACCAAAGCGCTTTTATAAAAGAGACCTACCTTTAACAAGCTTCATTGTATTCTTGGCCCCTAGAGAATGCAGGAGGCTGAGGTACAATCTACAAGCCACACATTATATGCATACACAATATTTAGTAAACTACCAAATGTGCACAATCCAAATTGATCACTCCTTTATGACTAGAGTGTTTCTCAAAACCCAAAACTGACATCTTGTAATACAGATTTAATGGCTGGATCAAACTAATACAAAACAATAACTTAAAAGATTTGTTTTTCAGGGATGGATCTAGATATTGAATATGTTTTCGGTTCCTATTCATCCAGGCAAAAGTGTATCTTGTCCTAAAAACAGCACAAACATCCCCATACTGTAATAACCTTGCAAAATATATTAGACAAGATAAAGAGAATTGAATATAAGCATCCACCTAGGCAAAACGTAAGACTTTTCTTGTAAGTTAATATTGTCTTGCGCTCCTGGTTCTTCTGGTATCTAACTTTCCAATCCCATAACTATCATAATTGCCTTTTTAGATACTTCAATGATCAGTGTATTTGTGGGGATATGGTAATGTGCGGGAAGAATTTTCCAGAAAATTACATCTAATGGAAATCTAATGTTGCTATACAAAAATGGAGATAGCCTTCTGTTCTAGGAAACAGATCTGAAAGGAAACACTGGTGAATGAGAAGAGTCTTGAGCTACAAATAGTATCAGACACAGCTATCTGCATGCCAATCAGGGATAGGAGATAGGGATAAGAGAACTTGAGAAACAGAAACTGTGGCAAGCCGTTACTGTACCTCTCAACTCTGCAATCCCAGGTCACTAAAATAATAGCGGATAGCTCACACATGTCTATTGAACTTCTCAAAATTAGCAAATAAGTAAAATATATGTATTATTGCACCACTTACTTTTCCTTTCAAGTCTGATGTTACAATCCCAATCCCCTAACAGCAGATAGTTCAAACCTGTCTTTCTACTCAAAAATAGCAGATAACTGAAAACTGGAGTGATGCTGAAATGATTTTATTAGGTAGGTTCATTGGATGGTGGCCTCTTTTCTTTCTTTATAACATACTGTGGGAAGTATATCCCAAAAGGACAGTGCCAGAAACTTCACAGCACCAGAAACCTCAGAAAACAGTGTCAAGAGACTTAAACCAGTCCTTCCCCCTTTAAAAAAAACCCCAGGCAAAAGCATCAGCTGAAAGGAACACTTAAGTAGAGCTATTAAGATAAGGGGAATCAAGCTAAAAATAAACTCTCCAAGGTAAAAGGAAACTCCCCTTTTCCTGCCTCCCTGACTGGATTAACTCCTAGGACAGGAAAAACAAAAGACCTGGGACCAAGATTAATCCAGGAAAACAAAACCCAGGGCAATCAGAAACACATCAAAAGCTATCAAGCTGCAGGAGCTTCAAAGGGGAATTAAGCATAAAAGGTTCAGAGTCACATTTCCAAGTTTGCTTGCAAGCTAGGAACCCTCGCTGTGTCACTACTTTTCTTGTCTTCCTGAATTAAAGGATCCCTTTTCTGGCAGCTGGCTTTCATGTCTATTTCTTCTCAGCATCAGAGACTGCTTCCCAGCTGAGAAAGTAACAGGAAATTTTCTTCCAACAATACCTTGAAGTAACTATTCTGGGTACTAAGGGGAACATCAAAGGGGTGATTGGACATTGTACTTCTTGAGATATACAGACACTGCAACAAAATATATAACACAGCAAGGAATGTGCTATTAAAAATATTTTGCTGACTACTTTCAGGTTCGAGTTTCTTTATCACATTTAAGTACTAGAGAGGATGCCTACATAACAACATTAAATTTCTAACTTACAGTAAGGGAGCAAAATTGACATGTAATAGTCATTATCAGAGCAAAATGAGGTCAACTATCTGCACTTTTTTTTTTTTTACAGAAATACCATTTATCAAATAGTGCATATATTGGCCATAGGAAGAACGTGCACAAAGAACACAATGCTCAGAAACACATCTGATCAGCAATAACTTCATTGCCAATCTATGATTCCCAGTAGCTCTCTGTTGTTGTACAGCCTCCTCAGAAGGCTACATTTATGGGTTGAATGTATATTTAGGATATTAACTGCTGTTAAGATTCCAAAGCCTGTTTAATAACAATAATTAAATACCATGAAGAAGTTAGGAACGTTTAGCCTTGAGAAGACTGAGGAAGAATAATGAAAGCACTCTTCAGAAACCTGGAAGGATGTTTATTTATCAAATTTTTATATTACCCATCTCACCTAGATGACTGATATCATGCAAGAATCTTCTTAGGACACTAAATTTAAGTTAAAGTCCACTGAATGGATGTTCAATTAAATGTTAGGAAAAACATTCTAAAGGCAAAAGTGATAATGGAAGCAACTATCCAGAAATGTTACTGGACACACACATATCACTGGATGTGTTGAAGCAGAAGCTAAAAAGGCACTTATTTTAATTTGGATTCCTGTACTTAATAGGAAATTAGGCCTCTATGAATCCCTGCTATGCATAGTTCTAATCAACTTGCTCTGAAAAAACAGAGGCATCATGTTGAACAGGGAACCATGGCAACCTAAAATGTTAAAAGAATTGAAGTAACTCTGGCAGGAAACAAATCATTCATTTCACAACTGACAGATTTACTTCCCACATTTTAAGGAAAAATCATAATGGTTTTATAAAACTGTAATCCAAATACACTGATAATAATCTGCTGGATATGAAATGCGTGACCTTATTACCCCTCATGATTTCATTAAGGGCTAAGAGTAGAGTGCAGATTTGAAACTCTAATGACTTAGTCATAATTTTATATAGGCATATATGTAAAGGGCAGGGCATTTTTTTTCAAATAAGACTTTAAAAAAAAAACCACATGGAATTACAGATGATTTTTCTCTTCCAGAGGGGAATGGCAAGACGTAAAATGCCGCTCATAAGATCCTCATTTATACAGATTTCACATGTTCACAGTGCCCAGTAAAGATACTTGAATGAATGAATGTATAAACATAATGTATATTTAGGTTATAACTACAAGTTTTAAGGCCAAATCAACTGAAAGCAGATTCCATGCAGCATATTGTACAATTAAAACCAGGACAATGCTTAAAAACAAAATAAGAAAACATGTAATTAGTGGAAACATCACAACCAAAATCAACAGTAAGCATCACACGGGCACATTATCAACCTGTCCCATAGCTTGTGAAACAAGCCATATATTTAAAGAATATTGCAGGGTCAGACAGTCTAAACTTCCAGAAGGATCTATTCCAAACCTCAAGTACTATGACAGGGAAGGCACACTTCCTAAGACAAAGCAATGGACAAATATCCAATATACTGAATTCAGTGAGCACCAAAACCCCAGAGAGGTTCTTTTCCCTGGTTTCCTCATGAATCGCATCTGCTCTGAACATCCTATAATTTCAGCACCAAAGGTTTCAGCACATTTAGCTGCACATTCCCCCCCCCCCCCTCTGGATTCTTAAAGCTCTTTTTTCTAGAGACAAAAGTTGGAAGAAGTTGAAGCAAACTAAAGATAATAAAAAGGAAGAATCTATCTAGGCAGAGAAGTCTTCAGCCTCATGCATTCTTTGTTTATAGTCACAATTAAGAATCTTGCTTCAGCCAGCCTTTCGAATGATAAATTGCATTTCTTCAGCTCTTAATCCACTCTACATAGTGCCCTGTTTGATTGTTAATCTTTATTATATTTTAAAGGTTGTAATTACTTTAGTATTTCTTTTCTTTACAATGGTAAAGAAAATAGTGGTGGCAATTAGTTTAAAATACAGCTTTAAAATACAATTACCTTAGAATATAGCTGTGGCAATTAGTTCATCCTGTTTTACAAGATAGTTTTCCACAAGAGACATGTAAAAATTAACACAAACGAAGTAGGGGCTTTATTTTGAAAAGATGTTTTTCACTCTTGATATTATTTGAAAATCCAAACTGAAGTTTTCTGTCCAATTTTAAAAACGCAGGAAGAACTGTCTACATAAGAATGCCAAACAGAAATTGTTATAAAAAGAGGAAAGATCTTCAAGGATACTCACCTCTCTCTTTTTTTTGGCTTTGATCTCTTCAGTGTTGTTGGCAAGGCTAGACTTTCGCTTGGTGCCCTCTGATTTCTCCCGAGGCTTGTTTTCACCTTCCTTCATTTTTTTGTATTTTTTCATAAACTCAGCAATCAGTTCTGGGCAATCAAGGTTCTTTTCAGGTTCCCAGGTATTATGCTCCCTGACACAACAAGAGATGGGCAACAGTGGGGGGAAAGGAAAGTAACAAACAGAAGAAAAAATGAAGACATTCCCACTCAGTGATCACAAACATCAACTGAGAAGTGAGAGAAGTCATAATCAACGTATGAAAGAACAGTTGCATTTTTTTCCAGGAATTCATGACATTTACCAAAACAATATAATTATTTCTCAAGTTTACTGAAAACTAGATTTGCTTTAAAACTCAAGTTTATACATTACGTTTTGCATTATGTTCTAATCTTAAAGAGAATTTTTATAAAATGATGTATCATTGGTATTTGTCACCAGAGAAATTGTCTTGAGTGTATACATATACTTTGAATCTTTGTTGGAAATATGAATAACATGAAGGAACATTTTATCATGCGTGATGGACATGTAAAAAAGCTAAAAAAATCTTGGAGACTAATAATACAGGTAGTCTTTAAGTTAACATCACAATTGGACCCGAATTTCCATTGCTAAGCAAAATGACTCACACCTGATTTTAGGACCATTTTTACATGGTAGTTCAGCAAATTACTGTAGTTAAGTGAATCATATGGTCATTAAATAAATCCAGCTTCCCCCATTGACTTTGCTTATCAGAAGCCAGCTGGGAAGGTTGCAGATGCTGATCACATGACCCCAGGCCCTGCAACCATTCTAAATATATGCTGGTTGACAAGCGCCAGAATTTTGGTCATATACAGGTAACTATTGGGATGCTACAACAGTCATAAGTGTGAGAACTGGTTGTAAGTCACTTTTTGCAATGCTGTTGTAACTTTGAATGGTTGTTAAGCAAATGGCTGTAAGTCAAACACTACCTGTACACTAATTCAGAATATTTTAAAAGTTAACATGCAATTGAAACCAGACACCTTTCTTTGGGGACTAATGGATAAACAATTAGAAAAAAATCTCTGGAACTTTGTTTTTTATATGTGATAATTGCAACAAGACTACTACATGCTCATAAGTGGAAAAGTTTTATAATACCCACAATAGAGAAATGGCTGGTGAGCATGATTTATCCAGAGATGGATAAATTAACTTCTTTGCTTAGAGAAAAAACAATATTTTCATTTATGACTGATTAGAAACCCCTTACAGAATGTTTGCATAAAACAGAAAAAATGTAGTTATGGTTTGTGATTTTGATTAGAAAAAAACCTGGATAATAGCAAAGAATGAGCTTTCTTTTGTAATTTGTAATAGAGTAAGACATAACTTTGCCATTGTACTTATATTTGCTGCAAACAAAATTGGAAGCTTCTTTCTATTTCAGTTTCTTCTTTCGTTTTGCACTTTTGTCCTTTTTCTTTTCTGATTTTTTCTTTTTATTAGTTTGTGTCAATTTTTATTATATATATATATATATATATATATGTATATATAGGTATATGTATATGTATATATATGTATAGAATATAAAAATTAACACAATTAGAATGTGTGTTTGTGTGTGTGTGTGTGTTTTTTTCTTTCTTTTTCATAGGTTTTATGTGTATTTCTCTTTAGCCAGGTTCTACCTACGTAAACCAAGATATTATGCAGCCCTAGTTCAGTGAAATCACAATTCACTAGTTTCTGGGCTTTTTTTCTTCTGGCAGCCAGCAGACCCTTTGCTGCCCATTGGGAGACTAAGATAGATCTATTTCGGCCTTATAAGGCCTCATCAGTTAGCCACACCCTCATCTCATGTATCCTCCCTGTAAAGGTACAATATTTGTTTTTCTTTCTTTTTCGTAGGTTTTATGTGTATTTCTCTTTAGCCAAGTTCTACCTACGTAAACCAAAAAAGAAAAACAAATATTGTACCTTTACAGGGAGGATACATGAGATGAGGGTGTGGCTAACTGATGAGGCCTTATAAGGCCGAAATAGATCTATCTTAGTCTCCCAATGGGCAGCAAAGGGTCTGCTGGCTGCCAGAAGAAAAAAAGCCCAGAAACTAGTGAATTGTGATTTCACTGAACTAGGGCTGCATAATATCTTGGTTTACGTAGGTAGAACCTGGCTAAAGAGAAATACACATAAAACCTATGAAAAAGAAAGAAAAACAAATATTGTACCTTTACAGGGAGGATACATGAGATGAAGGTGTGGCTAACTGATGAGGCCTTATAAGGTGTATGTATGTATGTATGTATGCATGTATGCATGTATGTATATATCGGGTGTTTTCCCGCATCATTAAAAATCTGTTAGTTGAAATGCTTAAAATCCTGGCTAAAATCCCAGCTTAAGATCCTCCAAAATCCCAACAAAACACTTTGTAAGGTCTTTTGAAACTCTGGCTAAAATCCTAACCAACACTTTAAAAGTTTTCTTTTTGACAGTGAAACGCAGTGAAAAATAGAAGAACACAAAAACACAGTGAAAAAAGAAGAGCAAACTTCTTCCTTGGTACAACACATGACGGCCACGGGACATAATATCGACTTTAACAATACTAGAACAGTGGTGAAAGAGGAACATCTTAATAAGAGAATAATTAGGGAGGCTATCGAAATTGAAAAGAGGCCGCAGAATATGAATAGACGAGATGACGCTTCTAGGTTATCAAGTATTTGGAGACCTGCACTGAGGGAAACTTGAGTTTTAACATTAGCGGATAGGCAGAGATCCCAACAGGCAACCAGTGGTGTTGTAATGCCTGCCAGAGTCCTTCCCTCTTTGCAGATGATAGCTAGCAATAGAGAGAGAGAGAAAACCGAGCCAGAAGAGAGGCTGAGATCTCAACAAGCAATCAGCGGTGTTATGATGCCTACCAGAATCCTTCCTTCTTTGCAGTTGACAGTTAGTAATAGGGAATCAGAGAAAGCTGGGCCTTTAACATGCAGTCAGGCTGCAGCTAGGATAATGAAGCAAGAGAAAAAACTGCTGCCCTCCAATCAGGACACAGAGTTGCAGGCTAACCAGCATACATCAGCAGCAGCAAACATAGAAAAGTGACAACTCTGATCTCGCAGCATACCCACAGCTTCTAAACTGAAAGTAGGGGCCCGATGATGACAAGTTAGAGAGCTTGTCGAAATGTTAAGCCAAAAAGAAAACTTTTAAAGTGTTGGTTAGGATTTTAGCCAGAGTTTCAAAAGACCTTACAAAGTGTTTTGTTGGGATTTTGGAGGATCTTAAGCTGGGATTTTAGCCAGGATTTTAAGCATTTCAACTAACAGACTTTTAATGACGCGGGAAAACACCTGAGATTTTAACTTTTTACATACACACACCAGCAAAAACTTGCGAAGATATATATATATGCAAGTCTTGGTGTATTCGGGTCTTTTCCCATGTAAGATTGAGAGTATCTTGGCAACGTTTCGATGAGGTCCCACTCGTCATCTTCAGGCTGGTGTCCTCGGCTTCGTGCATGTGCGAGCAAAGCGTGATCGGAGATGCTGTCTCTCTATAAATACTGGTGGGGAGGTGTGGAGTGGTGGCTTTGTTGTTGTAAGCGGGTTGGTTAGCTGTGTTGTTACATCTTGATTAGTTGATGGAGTTGATGTTTGCAGATTAGTCGGCTGTTTCGTAACATCCTGTGTGGACGAGGTCCTAGCTGTGTGCCCATTAGGCTTTTGTGTTGTAACGACCTGGTTAATGGGCCGTGTGGCAGCATCCTGAGCTCCAGTGTTGTGACATCCTGAGTCCTGAGCTGCAACATCCTGGGTAGTTGGCTGTGTTGTAACATCTTGAGCTTTAGTGTTATAACATCCTGAGTTCTGTGATGTATTGTCTTGAGCAGATGGCTGTGATGCAACATCCCGGGCTTTGGTTTGGCTCCGAGTCTGAGGTTTTGTCATGTTCTAATGGCATGTGTTAGTTTGCTTTGTGTGGGGATCGGAGGGGGGCGCAGCTGCTGGCGATGCCACCGTGGTCCGGTTCCTGGACGGTGGCTGCATTTCGTCTATGGGATGGGATTGGGTTTGAATCTGGCAAGGATGATTGGTGGTGGTATCATGTGTTATCCTGGGTCTGGTATCAATGTTTGTGGCTGGGGCTCGTTTGTTGATTAGGACTAGTTTCCAGATGTCTGGTAGGCAGGAGGTATCGTCTTGTTTATTCATGTTATGGGGGTGTTTCTCTATTTCAATGGCTTCCATAATTATTCTCTTGTTGAAGTGTTCAGTTTTGGAGATTAATTTGGTTCCTTCATCTGGAACATCTGGAAACTAGCCCTAGTCAACAAACGAGCCCCAGCCACAAACTTTATTTATTTATTTATTTATTTATTTATTCATTCATTCAATTTCTATACCGCCCTTCTCCCGAAGGACTCAGGGCGGTGAACAGTTAAAATAACATACATATAAAATGTGAATATAAGATGATTAAGCCAATTTGGTTCATCGGTTAAGAATTTGCAGCATAAAGATTTAGAACAATTAGAAGAGATTTATGCCAGCCCTTGGTGAAATAGAAAGGTCTTAAGTGCATGACGGAAAGTACGAAGATCTGGGATCATTCGTATCCCTGGGGGTAACCTGTTCCAAAGGGTAGGTGCCCCCACAGAAAAGGCTCTTTCTCTGGGAACCACCAGTCGACATTGCTTTAGTGATGGCACCCTGAGGAGGCCCACCCTGGGGGAGCGTGCTGGTTGGTGGGAGGTTATTGGTTGCAGAAGGTGGTCTCGTAAGTACCTAGGTCCTAAGCCATGGAGCACTTTAAAGGTAAGAACCAACACCTTGAAGCGCACTCGGAAGACCACTGGGAGCCAATGCAGCTCGCGTAGGAGAGGTGTTACATGTGAGCGCCATGTCGCTCCCGATATCACCCACGCAGCTGCATTCTGGACCAGTTGGAGCCTCCGCGTGCACCTCAAGGGGAGCCCCATGTAGAGAGCATTACAGTAGTCCAGACAGGAAGTGATGAACATTGACACCAGCCACAGGATAACACATGACGCCACCACCAATCATCCTCACCAGATGCAAACATCAACTCCATCAACTACTTAAGATGTAACAATACAGCCAACCAACCCGCTTACAACAACAAAGCCAGCACTCCCCACCTCCCCACCAGTATTTATAGAGAGACAGCATCTCCGATCACGCTTTGCTCACACATGCACAAAGCCAAAGACACCAGCCTGAAGATGACGAGTGGGACCTCGTCAAAACGTCCAGGCACTTACGAAATTTGTTATATTTATCTACCATCTCATTCCTGCATAGGGCTGTTATTTACAAGTCAGTTTTGATAGCTTGATATACAGGTAGTCCTCAGATTTACAACACTTCGTTTAGTGACTGTTCAAAGTTATAAGGGCACTGAAGAAAGTGTCCTGTGACTATTTTTCACACAGAACTGTTGCAGCAAGCACATGATTTACATTTGAATGCGTGACAACTGATTCACATTTATGACGGTTGCAGTTTCCCAGAGTCATGTGATCCCCTTTTGCGACCTTCTGACAAGCAAAGTCAATGGGGAAGACAGAATCACTTAACAACCGTGTAGTTGTAACCATGTTACTAATTTAACAACTGCAGTGATTTACTTAACAAACATGGCAAGAAAAATTGTAAAATGGAACAAAACTCACTTAGCAACATAAATTGTGGGCTCAATTATGGTCGTAAGTCAAGGACTACCTGTATAAAACATTAGATGTACATCTTATTATAGAAATGCATATTGTAAGAATCACTTTTACAAATGGAACATATACAGGTAAAGGGCATTTTCCCAAGTAGTAGGTGGATTTCCTGTATACCAGACCAGCATGACATTTAAAATGCAAAGTATTTGTCAGAAAACACCCTTATCTTATACATCCGGTTTCTTAAGATAGTAATTAAGATGTTAAATAAATGCTAATAAATAATATAATAATCCTTTATTAAAGCCAATTAAAACCTCATGGCAGCAAACTAATGTCTGAGTGTCAGAGAAACATCCAGGCTAGAAGAAGAAATTAAAGAAATCCACTCAAGGAAAAAAGACATGATGAAATGAAAAAATCCCACAGGTTAATTAGGCTAATTTGTATCCAATATATGGATCACATATGCTAAATAAATAAGATCATAGCAAAATACCATATATATCAAAGCATCTTGGAAATAATAAAAAGAATTAAGCTTATATGTCACCCAACTCCCAGCAAGTCTGGGAGATGAATAATCAACAGCTATTTTACCTCGGTAACAGAATAAGACAGAGTAAGACCTCAGGATGTCTGATTAACTGAAATATTGCAAGCCCCCACCAAATGTAGAAAGTTTCTAATTTTTTACTGTGATATCAGAGGGATCTGCTGTTTCAGTTGCTGCACAATAGGTCAACACCTCAATACTGGCTTGATGGATTTGCCTTCCTACAATCAAGTAGTGTGCATCCATTTAAATATCACATCCTCAAATCTGAATCTTGTAGGTAATGATTCTACAAACAGATAACCTACTTTGATCTTTTGAAACTGTAAAGCTATCTGGCAGAATCAGGTTAATAAACCAGGATACAAATACATATGAATACACACATTCAGAAACATCTTTTTCAGAACAATTATTTTGTAGTAAGTTAAGTGAGAAGGAATGTTCATCTTGGGTGCTTAAAACTCCCCACTCTTTTGCATATCTTGCTCTGATACATTCAACTGGGCAGTTATCTATTCACTTAAGCTCCATTACATAATCCTGGAAATTCTGCTTGGCCTATCTTGGCTCCACAGATTTTCAGGCATTATCTTGCAATTTTCAACTTACTTTAATCGCTATAGCAGCTAAAAAGGTCCTTTAAAAAAGTAAAAATGGAAATATCCAGGATGTCTAACATCCAATACCAAAATTCTATGCTTTTATTACGTTCAAGGAGCTTACAAAATTTCCCTATGATGCAATAGAGAGATGATATTAATTAAAATGGCAATTCAATTAAATCTCAATCTGATTTGATGTTAAAAACAATGTTAAATTTATTGAATATGATGCCATGGTAAAAATTAATCCATAAGGCCTTCCAAAAGAACCATGCATCTGCCTGCTTCTGAAAGGTCCTGAGGAGGGGGACAAGGTATTCTAAAGGAGGGAGCTGCTAGAGAGAACACCCATCACTAGCCTCCCCACTCCCTGCAGTACTTCCTGATAGGTTGGGAACTCTTAGTTGTTTGGGTAGGAGGACAGAAGCAGCTAGGAAAAGGCACTACCTAAAATGCCCACGTTTTGAGCCATTGTAGGGCTTTGTAGATAATTATCAGAGTCTTGAATTGCACTTGGAAGCTTACTGATAAGCTTACTGTGGCAGCTCCTGCCACAGAGGCAGTTTTGTAATTCTTGGCTGAGCATGCATATTGTGTGAAGCTTCCACACAGTCCTTAAGCGCAGCTCCAAGTACAGCAGGTTATAGTAACCTTATTTGAAGATGAGAAAGGCGTGAAGTCATCTTCAGTGCACTGTGTTCCAGGGAAGCTGCACTGGTGAACTAGTTGAAGCTGTGCAAAAGCCCTTCAGGCCATGGTCTCAACCTGGTCTTTGACCAGTAGCCATTCACAAACACAAATTGATTGCAATCATGTGCTTTGCCCAAAGGTGCACAAAGCTGGTGCAATCCTGGAATCAGACATTCGCTGAAACAATAACTACTCTGTCTTGCTTGGGTTGAGTTTGAACCTGCTTTTCCCCACTTAGACTCTGACTGCCTCCAGACATCAGGTCATGACTTCTATCTTTCTCCTAGTAGGCCTAGGGTAGAGAAGTGCAATCACTTATAGATGATAATTTGTTCCAAACCAACAGATAACTTCTCCCAGTGGTTTCATATAGAAGTTGAAGAGGATAGGGGAAAGGACTCAACTAGGGACCTCATACAGAATTGTCTAGGAGTCTGACCTCTTTTCCTCCACAGTCAACATCTGGACACCTCAGGTAGGAGTGGAACCATTACAGCATCATGCCTCCAACTCTCATCCCTTGCAGGCAATCCAGAAGGACTGTGGTCGACGGTATCAAAGAGATTCAGAAGAACAAGGATGGTGTGACTCCGACCCCCGAGCCTGTCTTATCGGAGGGAGAAGACTCCGAAAGTGAAGGAGAGGAGTTGGCAAGGCCTCCCTCTCCAGGACCCTCCTCTCTGGCAATGCCTCAGGTGTCTCCCGAAGGAGAAGAGATAGGCCAGGAGCCAGGCATCTCCAAGCAGCCGCAGTTAGACAGCGACAGAGATAAGTCTTGGCTGGATCCCCGCCAGCGTCGGAAAGACAAGCGCATGCAGCAGAGAAGGAGGCGTGCCAGAGATTAAGCTGAGTCACTGGACCACACCCCACAGGGGATAAAAGGGGGTGTGGTGGCTATTCAGGCTTTGTGACGGACAAAACTGAACAGCTAGCAATTCATACTGTGTCTCTGGAACTTCGTTATCTGCCTTCCTTGGATTTATTATGGACTGGACTTGACAATTCTTTGGCTTTGTGAATTTATTTTGGTTTATCTGACGGAGGAGGAACACCTCCCTCTGTGAGTAAAGTTTTTGGCAAGCAGCTACTGGGTTGCTGCCAATTCTGTTATCGAAGGAAATTATTGTCTGCAAGTTTATTTTAACTCCTGGCTGACTGTTTGTGTGCGTGTGTGAGACAGGGACAGAACAGATGGTCACATTCAAGCCTCGCTGTAGGACAGCCAGAAGAGTGACTCACATGCTTCCATCCCATGCTCAGGTCTGAACCCAACCTACAAAGGGCTAAAATAATCCACCCTCCAGAGCCTTCTGCAATTGCACCACCACCACTTAATCAAAAAAGGAAGAGGATGTTTGTTGTATCTAGTCCTGTCTTTTAAGGAAGTTCTTCTTTAGGGGCTTCTAGGAATCCCCTTCTTTCAAAAGAAAGATTGATTACAGCCTGGATCCTACTTCTAGTCCCCTGCTTGACTGCTTTTATTAGCCAAGTGGGGCAAAAGTCCAATCCACAACGGGGAAGCTAAGATTACAGAATTATTGCAGAATTAATATATTATAGTGTGGAGTGCAGGGAATTAACTTTTTTTCCTCCATGAAGCTCTTTAAGCATTAGTGCTGGTGAATAACTCAAGTGGAACTACCAACTCTGTGAAGTGAGAGAGGGAACGCAGATGCCAGTATTTCCAAAACACATTTTAAGGTCCCAGGCTTTGCCTCATGACCCACTTATTTAAATGGATGCACGCCACTCTTATTTGGAGTGAGCAAAGCAAGCTCCCACCTGTGGGGTTTACCTTCCTCCTTTAAGGGAAAGCTTGAATAATGGCAATGGATTTTTAATTTGAAACACTGCCTGGAGCTCTGCTACCAAGAAAGATCAAAGCCCATGTCAGAAGGAAAGTTGGACTTACTCAGAGAATCCTTTCCACTTGAGAAGATACTCCACTTGACCCTTCACAACACGCCTGTCTAGAACCTTCTCCACAACATATTCCTCCTCTTCTTCAGAGGACGAACTATCTGCTGTCCTCTTGTTTCTTTTTCCCATAGCGCAGAAGTTGTACCTAATGCACCAAGGCTACCCAATTCCTGCAAATCGGAAGTGAAATGTTAATTGGTGGTAACTGCAAACCGGTTTCTGTTTCCATAATCTCATGCTAAACATCCATCCATATAGTACACATCTCAAAGGTCTCATACCTGATTACTAACATTCATTGCTTAACAGGGAAATCTGGAAGCATATTTTAGAGGAGAATTTCGATACCAAGGAGAAATAAACAATTAATTTTTTTCTTCCATGTTCTCCCTTAAGATGGTTGATACAAGCATAATAATCCACAAAACCACATACAATTTTAAAGCTACCTACAATTCAGCTGAAATATCAACCATTTTGATACCAGTTGCTAAAGACTGTGCAGCTGAATTAATTGATATAATTTATAACATCCAGAAAAAACTATTTATCTCATAAAAAATCCACAATGGTAAAATTAGCCCACAAATTATTAAATACCAATATTTTATTTATTGCAGATCTGATTGGAATTCAACAAACTGAGCATTGTTCGGCTGTTCATTTTAAATTCAAAATTCTTTGTAGATAAATAATGAGAATATCCAAATCAAGGCCCAATCTCCTACATTTATTAGTATATTCTTAAGCCCTATTTATTTAAATTCTATGTTTCCTCTAAAAAGTGTTTTAACATAGGTATCAATTACATAAAATGAATGACTCAAACCAGGAAAAGGTATTGTCCTTGCCTCTGTCCACAGACATTTATTCGTGCAGTATCTTATTCTTAAAATGAATGGTAATTTCACACACATTTTAAATGAATAATTCATATATAGCTTCCAGAAAACAGAATTATTTGTCATTGTCATCTGCTATGTACACAGGGCCTGTAAGACTGTTTAAAAATCTTCTCAAATGTAAACATTTAAAAGTTTGAGAAGTTTAAAAATCTTCTCAAGCAGAGGGAGCATCCCGATTCTCCCACATTTTCCCTACCTTAATGTTTACTTAAGTGCATGAATAAATGTACCTCCCACTTTTTTCACCTTTAGCACTTTTTACAGGTCTTCTTGAAAACAAATCAGAATGAAACTTTGTTAAGTCATCGACTGAATTCAGACTTTTCTACTCCACCTTGGAGCAGAATTAAAATTTTCCAATTTAGCTTACTTTGCCTCAGGATCCAGGTTCCACCAAATCCAATATATAGTCACAGAAAACTCTGATGAAATTCCGAGGTTACTAAAGTTATGATGTTAGAATAATGTTGAACATAAAAAAGCATGCTTTTTGTGCTTTCTGCTAATCACTGTATATGTATTCAATATAAAGGTTTCCAGATACTAAGGCATTTCACTTTCTGGAAGTAAGAACTAATGAACTCATTTGTACTTACTTTGGAACACAGTACAAAGATAAATTTGTTACTTTAGTACAAAGATAAATCTAAGTAACTTAGTTGAGGAAAGAAAAGGCAGAAAGTACGTCAGGTTGGAATTTACAAGTTACCATTAGAACAGGAATTGTATTTACTTGATAGTCTACATCCTGTTTTTCAAAAGCTCAAGAGGCTTCCACCGGGATTGCACTTCATTTCATCTCCACAACACTCTTGTGAGATGGATTAGTCTGAAAGAGTGTGACTGGCCCAAAGTTACCCAGTAATTTTCCATGGCTAAAAGTGGATTTGAAGCTGGGTCTCCTGGATCAAAATTCAACACCTTAACCGTTATACTATAGCACAGTGATGGCTAACCTTTTCCGGACCAAGTGCCCAAAGTGCGCCCAAACCCCCCAAATACAATACGTGCATGCCCCCTGTCCCCCCCCCCCCCCGTGCATGCACATGTGGCCCTCCCACAGGGCAGAGACCCAAAGAACAGCTAGCAGCAGGAGACACGTGCGCATGTGTGGCGCAGCTGAACTGGGGCGATGGCTCACGTGCCATCAGAGAGGGCGCTGCGTCCCACCTCTGGCACACATGTCTTAGGTTCACCATCATGGCTATAGCATAATGTTCATAATGCTTATATTGCTAGATTGCCCTTATTACTCATGTTATAGAAGCATATAAACATTTTAACACTTGGTATAGTGACTAGGGAAACAGCAAAGGAGTCATTCTGGGAATAGGAATGTGGATGGAGAATGGATTTCAAAAAAAAGACCTAGAAATAAAAAGGAGGGGAAAAAGAGACAGAAATGATGCTCTTGACAGCAAGAAATATTTGATATGAAATATTTAAATCTTTGCTGCAAGGGTAATTGGAAGTTTACTTTGTTTTAAAAAAAACACCTTCAAATATTGCTCCACTTCTACATAGTTAAAAGATAAACACATTATCTTAAATCCTCATCTTCCCATTGTAAAAAGAAGACATACACATACATAGTAGGTTATTTATATTCATAGCAGTTAGAGAATTCATTTGTTAATTAGGTAATTTAGTGGACCTATTGATAGACAAAATTAAATTTTTTAAAAATGACATACAATAAGTGAAAGTTTGATTCAAAAGTGGGGTTGAAAGACTAAATAACTGAAATGATTGATTCTTCTTATGACCTAGAGTCCCACTGCTACAGCTACAATAACCTGGAATGCAGTGATGTTGTGTTCGTGGATCAGTAGTTAAAAGTACTGTCACAGCTACTTATACAAAGGCATTATTTTTCCAGCAATTTATAACTTGGCTATAAACATTCACCGCAGTTTGAAATATTGGCGTAGGAGGACTCAGCTCTGAGTGAATGCTAATATTCTGCCCTTCAAAGAAACATGTGGATTTGATTGATTATATGCTCTTAGTGAACACATAGACTTCTTCCAAGATGATCTGTCTCCAATATGGCTCTTCAGGTCTTCCAAGAGTAAAAAATCAATTACCTGTACCACAAGTTACCAGACTGCAAGGGGGAAGGGGAGTAATTATACTTTCCTTGGGCAATTATAAATTACATTCCCAGTTTTAAATAATTTGAATGTAGTAGATGATTACTACATAAACACTATTCAGCTGTGCTTGATGGAGTTTTTTTTTAAATTTCTTATTACATCATTTTCATTAATATAATTACACAATACTGAAATAAAATTATGTCAATGTCTTAAACTGCTTTATTAACAATGGTAATTTTATTTTGCAATTTATCTCTAACCAGATTTTTTTCATTGTCTAAGACCAAAATGAAATTCTGTTTATTGTTTCTAAAGTCCTTTAAACCGAGTTCTGGAAGTCTCTGTTTTACTATACTTCCAGAAGATTAAAACCATTAAATATTAATTTAATATTAATTTAATAATAGCACAGGGTGACATCTATATTTAAACAATTATTTTATTTATTAGTGACCCTGAGTATGAGTTCCAACTCAAAACACTGATGATGTTACCTAGTTTGGGTAATGAAACAATCGAGTTCAGAGAGCATCAAGGACCTCTCAACTTGAAGTCTTCATGCTTTTGCAATCTATAACAGTATGGTGCTAAACCTTTATTTCTGAATAAGAGTTTAATATTTTCACATTTAATAGAATGCATTTAAATTGTCTTAACCAAACCTATGTACTCTGCAAAATACTATTAACCTAGGGATCAACATAAGAAATTTAAAAAGCAATCTCCTTGTGGTGACCAAGCAGCACTGAATGACATTCTCTTTGGCAAACATAATTAAAGAGAAAAAATGACAAATAAATCTTGACATGAAATATGTTTATTTGCTCACAAATTGTTTAAAACGTTTTGGTTCTTTGTAATAAGGATAAAAGGAATATTTCTCTGCTTGTTGAAACGTCTGTTCACCATCGGTCACTGTTAAATGTCTCAAGGTGCAATAAACTAACACATACATATATAAACAAATCTTTATACTGAATATAGAAAATATTAACAGGATCTAGATTTCAGAAGGTCAGTTTGAGTAACGTGAAAACATAAATGTAAAAAAAATATTGTAACTAGACTGTATTAAATCAGTGGTAGAGCGCATATTATCTACCTCTAATATTCAAATGAATGTGCTTGTAATTTATCCTAGCAAATAGCTTTAGACCAGGGGTGTCAAACTCGCGGCATCACGTGATGTATCTGGACTTTTTTCCCCTTCGCTAAACCGTGGGTGGGAGTGGCCAGTGCGTGACTCATCCTGTCTCCGGGCCGCGGGTTTGACAGCCTTGTTTTAGGCAATGTAAAAATGATAAGAACTGAATATTTATTTATTTACAGAATTTATGTGGCTGCTGGCTAAACTTTAACAATATGACTCAAAATGGCTTACAACCCACCCAAACTACAATAAACAATAAAATTAATGACAGACAACCTGATTCACATTCATACTATTTCAGAGTCGTTTTGTTACAAGATGGTGGCAAATAAATTTAATAAATAAATTTCCTGATGGGAACTTACTCAGGCCCCAACACTCAGGGTAGTCATATTTTAAGCCCTTTTTAAACAGGGCCAACTGAAAAATGGGAAGGAGATTGTCCCAGGGGGCAGACACCATTACTGAAAAGGCAGCTATTTGGTTCCTATCATATGGCACTGTTTCAGTGAAGAGATCCAAAGCATGCCCACTCTATTAAAATGAGAGAGACAAGCAGATGTCTTTAGAAAGAGGTAGTAACAAAAATAACTCAATCCTTTGCCCGATAGGATTATAAGTATAACCAGCATCTTAAATTGCACCGGGAAACTATTAGAGAGCCACTGAAGTTCACATAGTGCTGTTACATGGATAACCCAAGGTGTGCCCATAACTACCCACACTCATTCATTTTGGACCAACTGTAGCTTTCAGATGGTCTTTAGAAGAAGCTGTCCTGTCCTGACCCACAGAAATTACAGAGGTATTTTTATTAAAAAGGTTTTCAAAAAGAATTCTAATGACAAACAGCTTAAACAAGAAGGCAGCTAAAGAGTTGAGGAACATGAGATAAATGGAGAGTTGTCACCAACAGATCTGTGAGGTACATGACTCCCCTTATATTATGGTGGTATGACCTGGATTTGTTCCTTTGACTGGGCAGGACTTAGTACTTTGTTCAGCCCTCCTCTCCT